TTCTTTTAGTGACATTCAAAGTTACAACTGCACTGAAAAAAGTGACTTATGACCATTTTTCATACTTATGACCATTGCAGCATTCAAAGTTACAACTGCACTGAAAAAAGTGACTTATGACCATTTTTCATACTTATGACCATTAGTGACATTCAAAGTTACAACTGCACTGAAAAAAGTGACTTATGACCATTTTTCATACTTATGACCATTGCAGCATTCAAAGTTACAACTGCACTGAAAAAAGTGACTTATGACCATTTTTCATACTTATGACCATTGCAGCATTCAAAGTTACAACTGCACTGAAAAAAGTGACTTATGACCATTTTTCATACTTATGACCATTGCAGCATCCCCATGATCTTGTGATCACAATTCAGATGCCTGGCAACTGATTCATATTTATGACCGTTGCAGTGTCCTGAGGTCCTGTGATCCCCTTTTGCACACTTCTGACAATCAAAGTCCAAGGGGAAGCCAGATTCATTTAACAACCGGATTACTAACTTATCAACCGCTGCAATTCACTTAACAACTGAGGCATGTAAAGTAGTAAAAGGGGGCAAAACTCACTGAACAAAAGTGTATTTCACAACAGAAATCTTGGGCTCAGCAGCAGTCGTAAGTTGAGGACTATCTGTATAAGGAGAGGAAAAGAAAACAAAGAAATCAGAGAAAGCTAAAAATGCAAGAAAGGAACACACATTTTTAAAACATAGGGAAAAAAGGATAAAAGAAAATCTTCCATTCTTTACACCAGTTATAAATGCAGCTACAAATGTACTGCTTATTCAATGCTTACAAGATAACTTTGTTCTTTCTATACTCTAACCCAGGCACGTCAAATGTGATTTCATTGAGGGCCACATCAGGGTTGTGTTTGACTTTGGGGGGCGTGGCCAGCTGGATGTCACTCATGTCAGGGCCGCCTGTGGTGACCCAAGCGCTCTGCCAGCAAAAACGGGCTCCCGATCTCAGTTTTCAGCTGGGACGGCCTCCTGCAACCCTCTGACAGAGAAAACAGAGATCGGGACGGCTGCATGCAGCCCTCCCGAGCTCCGTTTTTGTTGGCAGAGGCACCATGGCCCACTTCTTCGGTGTTTCCAGGGCGGCCCACAAGCCAGATCTATAAGCGCCCCACAGGCTGGGTCTGGCCTGTGGGCCTTGAGTTTGACAGCCCTGATCTAAACTAATTATCAAAACCATAAATCATAAATTCCTTTTTTTGTGTGTTTCACATAAAAAGACTATAAAGGGTATCCTCTCGCCAATAAATTCCACAGTAACCTTGATTTTGTGGTACCACAGATCTCCATGCCATTCAAAAACATCATTCTATGCAAGGCATTCATTTTTATTACAGATATTCTCCCCAGCAAGGACAGTTGTAATTTCTCCCCTATTCTTTTAAACCTCATTCTATGTCTTAACATAGTTACTTTGAAATAACGTACAATTCATTATTTGTCAAAGCAATACCTGGATATTTTACCTTCTACTCAATCTTAAAATTCATTTTATTCGTGGGTTAATCTTCTGTTTTCATTATTTTGGTTAACATCTCTGTCTTTGGTTTATTAATGTTGGAACCTGTTAAGAGCACAAAATTCTTTTAATTTTCTCCTTAATATTTCAACTCCTTTTAAAGGATCCCACAGCGCCAGAACTCCCGCTAAAGGATCCCTCAGCGCCAGAACTCCCGCTAAAGGATCCCTCAAGGCCAGCACTCCTGCTAAAGGAGCCCACAGCGCCAGCACTCGCGCTAAAGGATCCCTCAAGGCCAGCACTCCTGCTAAAGGAGCCCACAGCGCCAGCACTCGCGCTAAAGGAGCCCTCAAGGCCAGCACTCTTGCTAAAGGATCCCTCAGCGCCAGCACTCCTGCTAAAGGAGCCCACAGCGCCAGCACTCGCGCTAAAGGAGCCCTCAAGGCCAGCACTCTTGCTAAAGGAGCCCTCAGCACCAACACTCGCGCTAAAGGAGCCCTCAGCACCAACACTTAAGGATGCCACAGCACCAGCTGATCCACAGACGCTCAACGCAGATGATAATGCTTCTTCTTCTTCTTCTTCTTCTTCTATGAGCCAGAATGATCTCCAGGAACAGCAGGTAGAAGCAATACTTTTCACAGCATTAAGCACTAAAGCAGAGGTGGCGAACGATGGCCCCTATATAACTTGTGGGCTTCAATTCCCAGAGTGACTGAGCCAGCCATTAAGTGCTGACTCAGGAATTCTGGGAGTTGGAGTCCACAAGTGCTGGTTCTGGCATTCTGGGAGTTGAAGTCCACCAGTCACAAAAGAGCCATCGTTCCCCAACCCTGTACTACAGAGTGTTTATTTATTTGTTTTGATTCGGTGTGATTTGTACATAACACCAAATCAGCAAAAAGAATTTTTTTTTTAAATAGGTAAACCTTTTTATTGATAAAACACTCAACAAAAATTCAGCAGCTTATCAAACCTGGGGCAATACAGCCACCAGAGACAACCCACCTCCACAATGCCACACAGGGATTCACTTAACTTTCTAACCTAAGGCCGGATTGGGGGAGGAGAGGGACCCAAGATTTTAACGCCTTCAGAAAGTCACCGCTCAGAGCCATTCGGATCTAAGAGGGCATGGTCTTCCACAGGGCAGACTGAGGCATACGCTCTGTGCCCCATCACATGCCATTGTTTAATCAAAGGCACCTGGGATTATACCACTAAGAACACAATAATAATAATTAGAACAGTGTAAGACGCTAATCTAGGAATCCGAAGACCTTGAGTCCTAGTTCAATCTTAGGCCCTAAGCCAGCTGGGTGACTTTGGGCAAGTCAGGCTCTCTTAGTTTTAGGAAGGTGGCAATGGCAAACCACTTCTGAAAAAAACTTGTCAAGGTGATAGGATGAACTTGTCCAGGCAGTTTTCAGCAGTCAATAATGACTCAAGTACCTTACTGTAAAGGTAAGAGGGACGCGGTGGCTCAGTAGCTAAGACGCTGAGCTTGTCAAACAGAAAGGTCGGCAGTTTGGGGGCTTGAATCCCTAGCGCCGCGTAACGGAGTGAGCTCCCGTTACTTGTCCCAGCTTCTGACAACGTAACAATTCGAAAGCATGTAAAAATGCAAGAAGAAAAATAGGAACCACCTTTGATGGGAAGGAAACAGCGTTCCGTGCACCTTCAGCATTTAGTCATGCTGGCCACATGACCACGGAGACGTCTTCGGACTTTGCTCTTTGGCTTTGAAACGGAAATGAGCACCGTCCTCTAGAGTCAGGAACAACTAGCACATATGTGCGAGGGGACCCTGCACCCCCAAAAGAAAATCTACAGCAGAAATCAAGTTATTGTGAACTTACTTTGCTTAGCACTATATAAAACAAACCTTGTAGGTTTTTTATTTCACTTAACAATTAAATGATTCAATAACAAAATGGATAGTTTCCCCTCAAAGTTACATTTCTGTCAAGATACATTTCTATTAAGTGACAGCATTTCATGATGGAATGAGGGATAAACGTAAAAATGTTCAGAGATGGAATATCTATTTCAATTCAAATACTTTTTAATGAGAATCACCAGTGGGACAAATACAGTTAAGTCCTCAGCTTAAGACCACAATTGAGTCCAACATTTCTGTTGCCGAGGGAGTCATTTGTTAAGTGCGTTTTGCCCCATTTTATGACCTTTCTTGCCACGGTTAAGTGAATCATTGCAGATGTTTAGTCAGTCACATGGTTGTAGGGCGAATAAGGCTATCCCCATTGACTTTGCTTGTCAGAAGGTTGCAAAAGGAGATCTCCTGACTGCAACCGTCGTAAATATGAGTCAGTTGCCAATCAACTCAATTTTGATCATGTGACCATGGGGATGCTGAAAAGGTTGCAAGTATAAATAATGTTGATAAGCCAGATTTTTTCAGTACCATTCAGTAACTTTGAACCATCACAAAATGCACAGTAAGGACTACGTAGAATCTTGAATAAGAAGAGTTCACCCTTTTTTATTAACTGCCCCAAATTCTTGTACTTCTGTACATTGAAAACATAAGCAACAATACAATTTTCACTACCCCGTTTCCCCTAAAATAAGACTTCCCTCGATAATAAGCCCAATTGGGCTTTTGAGTGCATGCGCTAAAATAAGCTCTCCCCCCAAAAAAATAAGCGCTTCCTGAAAATATTTAATCGCATGCGCAGCCCGTCCCCGCCATTTCCTCTGGTTGCTTGCTGCGCAAACAACACGAGATGAGGTGAGGCCAGAGGGGGGGAAGGGAGGGGGAACATGCCCCATGCACCCCACACGCCCTTACCTAACAGTCGCTTCCACAACCCTAGTCACCACGCCCTTCTGTCATGCTAATGGCCACCACAAAGAGTGGCTGGTCCAATGACGTGCTACACAGCAGCAGCCATGAGGTGACCACGCTCGCTGCCTCCTGCACCTCAAAAATAAGACCTCCCCGAAAATAAGACCAAGCACTTATTTTGAGGGTCAAAAGAAAATAAGATTCTGTGTTATTTTTGGGAAAACGGGTATTCCTCTGGAGAAATAATGCTAGACAGAGTTTATTTATTTTTATTTATTAATTAAATTTCTTAAACTTTAAATTTTTGACTACATTTTTATTCAGTTAGAAAAAAGGCATCTTAATATATAATGTATGTGACAGATTTTTGTTCTGTCAAAATAGCATACTTTATTTATTGGACTTTTATCTTGCCTTTATTACTTTATAAGTAATTCAAGGCAGCGAACATATATAACACTCCTCCCTCCTTCTATTTCCCCCTCCTATGAGGTGGGTTGAGTTAATTACCATATTTTTCGGAGTATAAGACTCATAAAAGAGGCTGAAAATCTGGGTGCGTCTTATACACTGAATATAGCATTTTTTTGCCTCCCGAAACAGCGCCCCTTCACCAAAATGACCGTGCATAGCCTTTGGGAGGCTTTTGGATTGCTCCTGAGGGCTGGGGAGGGCAGAAAGGAGTGCAGAAATTGGCCATTTTTTGCTCAATTTTGCCCCCTCCCCCAACCCCCAGGAGCTGACTACAAGCCTCCTAAAAGCTATTCATGCCCTTTTTGGGGGGGGGGGAACAGGCCCGTTTTCACAAAAAACAGGCCGTTTTTTGGAAGTCTGCAGAGTGCAAAAACTTTTCTTTTATTTGCCTCTTCAAAATCTTGGTCCGTCTGATTCCATGAAAAATCCGGTAGCCAAAGTCACCCAGCCGGGTGTCA